CTAATGATAATCTTGTATTTTTATAGAAAAATATGTTTCCCAAAGATTTAGGAAATCACATGCAAAATTGTATTGAAAAAAGGGTTAGAAGTCATCCCCAAAAGTCCAGAACATAAGATTAAAGTTCATGAGAAAACCCCTAATAACCAAGTCCGAGAGCCTTGCTCAAATATGAAATATTTCTTGAGAAATATCTTACCCATGATTAAGGAAGTTCAGATATGAAGTTTTTTTAAAATAAAATAGAGTTAAAATCAACCTTGAAATTTTCAATTTATCAAAGATTAACGTTATTGGAAAATTCCAAATTCTCAAGCGTCGTCAATATGATAAAAATAATTGCTGAAAAAGAAGTTTACACCAAAATCAAATTACCCATAACATAAGGATCTTAAATATGCATTTTCATCAAAAACCGAGTCTAATTGATAAAATCCTATTTTCTCCCAATAATATATGGATAATGAAAGAAAACTAGATGAAGAAATCATGATAAATTTTCAAAATGAGGATCAAATACAACCCCCCTATTAAATTGAGAATAATGCTACAAGAATGACTCTATTCCGAGCTCTAAAACTCCCAATATGCTCAAAATACGAAATGAACACAGTCTGAAATTTTAAATACCTGAACAACAATATTTACACCATAACCACGCAACTTTATTTTTCACTAAAAGACCTGTAACTTCCTTATACGATAGAGAAATGAAATATTTCCTTTTTCTAAATGTCTTAAATAATTATATAGAGTTGCTCGTTCAATCAAAACTCAATTATGTTCTCGTTTTCCAGTCAATTGCCAATTCTTTTCGGTAAATAATTATTTCATATATCGCGATAAAAGTTAAATCTTGGCTTAGGAAAAAATGTTCCAAACTTTACTTATCAGTCCTATGATTCATACTTAAACTTTGAAATGTTTTGGAATAACTTTTCGATCTTTAAAACTAATAAGGAACTTTTAGTTGATACAAATTGCTGAAACAATGCCAAAGAACCTAAAAAGCTTTAAAAGTAACCTAAAACTCATTCAAAACTTCCCAATCACAAACCAATTATGGTACTAGCTTAGAAAGGATAATGGAATCATCAAAACACCCAAATAAGATCACCTTAACCTGATATTGACCAAAATCAACTTTAACTGGAGAATCTCCACATTTCTAAATAAGGATATGAAACTCATCAAAAAGTTTTTGGGATTGGTCCAAACCTTCAACTAGATCAAATATCATTATTTGGAACTAGTGGAATCATCAAAACATAAAAATAACCTCAAGCTTTGGAGATAACAAAACTGTCAGAATTAGCTTGCGATTATAAAATGTTCACTTCGATCAACTATCTAATGCTTTCAACATTCAAAATACAAAAAACACTTCCAAAACTCATCTAAATACATGAGGACCTAATCCATTAGTCCTATAACCCAAAAGTCACATTTTGGAGCTGATGGAACTGCTAGAATTCCATTTCAAGACTCGAAACTTCGAACGTTTACTAAAGTCAACCACTTCAACTTAAAAGCTTCCAAATCTAAAAAACATACAAAAATATCAAATTTATAATTTGATTTCCAATCTGACTGCAAAAACTGATTAAACATGACTCAGGACAATTATCATGACTGTTAAAATGGTAATTTTTCCCAGAAAATTATAAAAATGACCTTCAGGATCATTACATTCATTGATCTCAACCAAACACGCTGCCGACTTGCTTCATGGATGACTATTATTTTTACCTGATTTGAAGTAATGACTACTAGCGTTTATTTAGTTGAATACCAAGATACTATTGTCCCTACACATATAGACAAATAACTTATTTATGACCAAGCTTTATGAAAATCATATGAAGACCATACATCTGCTTAACCAATCATTTCTAATATGAATTCGTTGGATAAAATAAATGCATGTCCATGATACTCTAAAAATATCTAAATAAGTACGTAACGTCATTCCAATTTCTTCTTGTTGGGGAGGAGCTGAATTTTGCCAATAAACTCACTACAAAATAAATATCCGATAGAGTATTATTAGCAAGGCACATCAATGCTTTTTTTGTACCAAGAAATGAAGTTTCATCATCAAGAGGCTCATCATCTTTCTTTTCAGGTCAAAATGTATCTTTATTTCTGTCAAGCAATTTCACAATTGTTGGGGGTACTCAATGAACGTGATTTATCCATGTAAAATTACTTCAGATTTTTTTTGTGTGTATGTTGATTTATGAACAAATATTCTATTTGTCAAATGCCCAAACTTTTGGTCAAGACAAAATATTTTCTTATCAAGATTTGTCATTTCAAATTTCATTTTTAAGCAATCAACAACTTTAGAAAGATGTTTTAGAGTGTCAATGATATTCAAGTAATGAATATACACAACTGTTAAAATAAATTCAGATCCCCCATTCTTATAAAAGATGTAAGGACAAATATGATTATTGATGAGTGGTGGATTTGCACTCATTTAAAGTTCTTTACTTAAGATTTTATGGAACTCAAAGTAGAGAAAGAGGTTAATTATGCTTTAAGTTGTGTTATTTCAGGTAATTTGATGTTGGGAAAGAAAATGCTAATAAAAAGTTGAATCGAAGCTGAAAAAGAGAGAAACCTGGCAGAAAAATAAGTCCCAAGTATCGCACTTGTGGAGCACTGATCGCTTTAGAAATCCATTCAACGAAGTCAACCATCCGCTTAAGCGAGGACACGAGGTGAGATTTTGCGAACTAGTTCAAAAGGGCGGAGGTCACTTAAGCGAACTGAAGATAGGCTTAGATTTGAGCATAATGGATGATCCAAGAATAGTTAGAGAGAGAACATTGTAGAGAGAAAAACACATTCAAAAAGTAGATCTGCTAGTGTGCTTGATTTGGGGTTAAGACATTGAAGACAAGTTGCCTCGCATTTCATTTGTGGATTCGAAGTTTGTGTTCTATTTTAGTAATATCTTTTAACTTACTTTAGTTTCTTGTTCTTATTACTAGAAATGCGGGTGTAATATTTGTATGAAATTGGGGCTTTTGTTCTAGAAATAGACAAACCTATATGGGTTTTTGATTAATTGCTTTATTGCTTTTGTAGTTCCTTTTTTCGATGTTAGATTTAATGAAATAGGTTCCATATAGTTTTCATATTTGAATTTATAGGTTGAGAGTAAACCCTCAATCTTAGCTTTCGATCTCTAGTCGATGCTAAAAAAAGATTGATTGTAGTGAAGAATTATATTAATGATAACATTTTGACATTGAATCTTAAATTTGAGATCAAAACCTAAAAGTTTAGATCAATTGTTGGGTGCAAGGATTCCTTCAAAGAGAGGTCTAAGTTATGGTAGTGGGTTATTTTGTATTTGTGTGTTTGAGACCAAAAGGAAATATCACAATAAAATGTTTTGAGATCAAAAGATAATTAGTGTTATTGAAGATGACCTAGACTACTTATTGATGATTGATCTTAGATTGAATTGTAATGGATCATTGAGTGTTAATTGGTTCCAAAAATTTTCCAATTCTCATACATCCCTTGCTTGATATCGTCTTTACCCACATTAGAGGTGTAGTTATAAAAATTACTTTCTATTTGGTAGTTGTGTACCTTATATGTCTAAATTCAAACTAGTATCTAGTAAGCCTTTATACTCTTAATTGCCATTATATTTTTCCTTGTGGGATTCGACCCCGACTCTTAGTTGGATATTTTTATTGATGATAATCGCTCACTCTTTTTATTTGTTTAGAGGATGATTTGAGCGTTATAAAAAATGGAGTCACTGCTAGGGAACAATTAGGTGTATTGAATTGATTTAGGATTTTGAGTTCACTTGTTTCTAGCTAGATTGTGAATAGTTGTCTTTATTTGCATTTGATTTTTTTCTATGGCTTATTGTGATCACTACATCTTTGGGAGTGGTTTGCCCTTTACTGACCTTGGGACTTACGATTAACTAAATGTAATAAGTCAATTGAGGCTTAGGGATGTGGATGTAAAGCTCAGTTGGGGAAAAAACAACCAAATTCCTTCTCTCTAAATAAATTGAAAGGTTTTGGAAAATGCACCTAGCTCGGTGCTATGGCATGGTCAACCTTGAATTTGGAATTCCTACTCTTAGGACGGAGATGAAGGAAATTATGAGGGTGAAAACTCCTCATTATCCAATGGTTGAAAAGAGAGAAGAAGAATATCACGACTTGCCCCTTGCTTGGTGTATGAGACATTCCAATTCATTTTCGGAGATGAATGGTTTGGAACCGATCCAAGTGAAGAGGTAAAGGTGGATATATAAGATATCTTGAGTTTTTGCAACCAACAAAAAGCAATAACAATCCAAGAAGGCGAAATAAGTATCATGATACTAGAGCTGCAAGAAAAAGAAAAAAAAAGATAATATATGGCAACTCTAGATCATGTGAATATGAGAGTGTCATTCACTTGAAGGACACGAATTATGAATTTCAATGCTCACGTGGCCTAGTGACTCTTTCACTCTTGATCAACGATCCAAAATTAAACCATGATACGAAGTTCGGTAAGAGATTCAAGTATTCAAAGTGGAGAGATCAGGTGAAATACTTGATGCTCTCTTGCACTTCCCATGCTCTTCAGAGTAAAATTGATCTCATGTTGGTAGAAGGTTCATTGCCTCAAAGATGAAAAATAAAGGGTAATGTACCCGACATTGCGTCACGACGTTATATTGCGAGGTCGATGAGAGACACCCAATTGGTATGAATGCTAAGTGACTTGTATGGGGCCTCTCGGGGTCTGATGTTCCATGCTACGCCTAGGTGGATACCTTGGTTCGTGACACATTGTAATATAGCAAAAATAGAACAATTAATATCTTGATAGAATAAAACTCAAAGTGTCTTCTTTCAAGAAATTCATCAAACACTTAGGGTACAAATAGTTTTGACTAACAAAACTAAATTATTGTCTGAAAACACCGAATACCAATGTTTGTATGTTCAAATTCTACCACTATCATGTCAATGGCCTCTCCCTCCTTCGTTGCTACCACTGTTTACACCATTACTAGCTCTGTCGTCGTCACCAACTAGACCTCCAACAATTACCTGAACCTTGTGATGCCAACACCAATTTCCGTTGTTGAGAAAATATTCTCACTTGTATTTGTCCTTTGGTGTGAAAATATTCTTATTTGATCTATAGTTCGAGTCTCTCCATCCAAGATTGAAGATTCTATTGTTCTTTTCGGAGAGGAATCTTCTTCTGACATTCCAACATCCTTTCATTTTAAATTATTAATGTTGTAAGAATACATAAAATATATATTAAAAAATTACAACCAAAAAAATAGTGCAACTATAAAATTAGTCGCCAAATAGCTTATGTCTAACAAGTATTTTTTCATAATTTGTTTTTAATCTGTTATTAAATAAGATTATATAATGATAACTTTATTTATTCTAATGATGAGATTTATCAATTTCAAATTCCAATATTTTCTATAGTGGTTTTTTTGTTGAAAAAAACTCTTGTCTAATATCTAGCGTAGCATTAACTTACCTTATTTATGTGTTTGACATCCCTATTCTTGAGGTTGTTCATTGCTTTACCAAGAAACATTTTGACCTCCCTCTTGACATAGTTGTTGCTTTTCTGTTTCTTTGTGGTACACTTCCTTTTCAAGATGGAATGTTCAACTTTTCTTTTCATGTAGTGCTTTTTAATAACCCCAACCTTTGGATTAATAAGAAAAATTTAATAAGAATAATGTAAATGTCTTTGTGTCTTAACATGACAATAAAAGTTAGTGCCATATAGTTAGGAGGTCGTCATGGAAATCACTTCTTGCAGAAATGCAAGGTAAGACTTAGTAAATATTTCTTACACACACATATATATGTGCACAAGAAACTTAGTCAAATAAGCTATAGTAGTCCAACAAAATGCAAATAATGTAAGAGCTTACCTCTTTTACTTCAGTGGTTTCTTGATCAACTTCAAACTTTGATAAATCTTTGAATACATATTTTCTTACCTCCAAAATAGAAGGATATTTTTTGCTCTTATGATAGTAAAACTGCAATGCAAAAAAGATTTTTGTTAAGAACTAACTATATATATGATTTTACAAAGTACAAATTATACACATTACAAAGTAATTATATTACTAGCTATCATTTTCTTGATATATCATTGGTTAGAGATTCACTGGTCCTTAATTAGTGATAAAACTAGTTATATATAAAAAATAAAACAACTAAAGAAAAATATACAATATAAAATCCAAATAAGTTTGAATGTGATAGTATAGTTGTAGTTTAGTAGTCCAGTTTAAAATAAGAAAATAAAGTTTAATTATCGTCTAACACAAACAAAACAAATATTATGAGTTTTTTTTCTTTCTTTTTTTTTTAGGAAAAACAAAAGATAAAACAAGCAATGATATAATTAAGTGGAGGATTCACGATATTGGTAGTAATCAATAAATCCAAAAAATTGTATTTACAATATCAAATGCTCTGGATCCATTTTCACATTGTCTATTTCTAGCTACCTTGTCAAGCCCCGAAGCTACCCGCAGGACATAGACACATGACGTAGGATCACGAGTGGCCCCAACCTAACCCTGCTGGCATACCATAAGCATACTATAGTAAACTGAAGTAAACAAATATTGTGCGGAAGCTAAATAATCATGTAAACTAAAATGATGGGGAATACCCATAAACTACCTAAATATATATATACAAAAAAGCTGAGAGTTTAACAACAACTGAAAAGTCAAACTCAAATACTAAAGCTGAAACTAAATATGTCTGAAAATAGCTTGTAACTGACTAGAATTGCTAGGACATGCCCCAGCTAAATCTAGCAAAACTGAAACTAACACTAAATGTAAAGGAACCATATATGTCATCCTCGAAGAATGAGGACTCACCACTGATGTTGCTGAGTTGATGATCGGGAACCGATCTATGCGTGATCTGGAAGCTGAGAACGTGAACCTACATCACGAAAACATGTAGCACAGACTATGTGTCAGTAATCGAAAGGTACTGAGCATGCAGGATAGAATAAGGCTGAACAATAAACATAACTGAACCAAAGCATGTATTTGAGCAATGATAAGAGATAAGCATGATACTATACGGAGAATACTGAACATAATCTAACTGGATGCAATGACCAAGTTTGTAACATGCTGAGACTGAAAACTGATAGCATGGTCAATGCAATAAAATCTGACTTTAAGGGAGCTACTAATAACTGACATAAAACCAGATGAGCTAAATGTGGAGTCCGATGTATACGCCCCATCGAGAGGACCGAATATACCCTATCCGACGTATAGAGTCATGACTGCGCGATAACTAAAATGTAATGCCCATAGAGGGGAATTATAAATATATGGGGGCACGTAGTTCTTGGATTTGAGGGTGACTGACCCTAGTCCACCCGGTATTATGCTACTCCCAATTGATTATTTAATTAACAATTTATGACTAAATTTCTGTAATACTGGATCGCTCAAAATACTGACATGCTAACTGAAAATGCAACATTCAAATCTAATGAATGTCTATCTGAAATAAGTAACATAGCATGTGTAATTCATGCACTAAATGAACTACATATCTAGGGTTCTGAATTAATGAAAGTATCTACACAAAACCATACTAAAATCATGACAATCTGATTTGGATCATTCTAACAGCTAAAACCCAACAATTTCTAACATTCAATAAACCTTAGGTCTAGATAGTATTAAGGGAATAAATATTCTGACTAAAATCTAGGGACCTAATGGGTGAAAGGAACTCACTAGTGAAATCCCACATACCTGATGATGAAATTCACAGAGAAATCTTTCAATTTTGGAGCAGGAACTTATGAAAACTCACTGCATTTTTGAATTAGTGCTGCTCGACTTTCTCCTCTATTTTGCCCTAAGTTTGATGATTTTTTTGTGAATAATTGATTAAGTTAGGTTCTAATTTGTTTACTAGGATAAAACTGACCAAAACTATGTAGTTTAGGGGTTAAACGACGTAGTTTACGGGTCCAATGCATAAGGAAAAAATCAAAAGACCCTTGACTTAAAAGTCTGCCGAAGTCGACCACAGGCTGACTGACAGTCCATGGGCTAACCCATGATCCATCCTGTCCACCGTGGATTGGCTTCAGAGACTTGTTTCTGGGGCTTTAATCCACGGGACAGGAATACAACTCATGGCTTGACTAATGGTCTGGGAGTTCGGTCGTCGATCAACCATTAGACTTTTTTTCATGAGTTGATTCTGGGAAGGCACTTCATGGGCACTACCATGACCCGTCGTCAGGACTACGACCCGTGAAGGGTCCCGTGGTCTGACGTCTAGGCCAGGTGGTCTATATCTGGTGACCATGACTTGCCAGTACAGTCCGTGAGGTAGTCCACGGCTCGTGAAGAGTCTCGTGGTCCACCCCTTCTTGACCAATGTGAGTCAATGGACAGGTCAACGGACTGTGGTCCCTTTCACAGTTTGTGAACCCTGTCATGATTCACCTGTTGCTGCTGGTTTTTTGCTGTATTTTCTTAGTATGGGTTCCGAGGTGTTACAATATTTCCCCCTTGGGAGCATTCGTCCTGGAATGAAGTCTAAAGTAGCTGGATGGGGAGGGAAAGACCATGAAACCCTACCACTAATTACTAGAAATTGATTTCTGACTGCACTAAGTTCCAAGGACATGCAAATACACTAAAAATGCAAGTACAAACTAAAAGAACATGATACTAAGACTAAATCAGTGCCTGAATGACTGAAAAAACTAGAGAGGAAATATTACCTCAAGCCGGAATGGAATTGGAAGGAAAGAGATGAGGATACTTGGCCTTCATGGCTTCTTCTGCTTCCCAAGCAGCTCCCTCTACTGACTAACTCCTCCACAAAACCTTAACTGATGCAACTTCCCTGTTTCTCAACCTTCGAACTTGATGACAAGAATTTGAACTGGTACCTCGTCATAAGTGAGACTATAATTCGCAACCACACTTTCTAAAGGTACAATAGATGCTGGATCACCCATAGACTTCTTCAACAATGTAATGTGAAAAACTGGATGGACTGGTGCTAGTTCTGTTGACAACTCTATCTCATAAGCTACTTTACCAACCCTTTTCAAGATCTTTTAAAGGCCTACATATCTAGGACTGAGCTTCCCCTTCTTGCCAAATCTCATCACCCCTTTCATAGGTGACACTTTCAGAAAAACCCAATCATTAACCTGGAACTCTTAATCCCTTCTCCTTACATTTGCATAGGATTTCTGGAGACTCTGGGTTGTCTTAAGTCTATCTCTAATGAGTTTCACTTTATCCATAGCATCATGAACTAAATCTGGCCCTATCAAGGCCGTTTCACCTAGTTCAAACCAGCCAACTAGATATTTACATCTACGCCCATACAATGCCTCATATGGGGCCATCGAACACTCTAATGGTAACTATTACTATGAGTGAACTCTATAAGAGGAAGGTGATCATCCCAACTACCCTTGAAATCGATCACGCAAGCTCTCAACATGCCCTCTAAGGTCTGAATGGTACGCTCTGCCTGACCATCCGTCTACCGATGAAATGATGTGCTAAGATTAACCTGAGTACCAAGACCTTTCTGAAATGACTTTTATAAATGAGAGGTAAACTCAGGACCTCTATCTGACATGATAGACAACGGAACTCCAAGCAACCTGACTATCTCATTAATGAAAACTTTGGCGTAGTCCTCCACCAAGTCTATAGTCTTAACAGCCAAAAAGTGCACAGACTTAGTAGCTCTATCAACTATCACCCAAATAGAGTCATGTGGTACGTGAGTATGAGGTAAACCTATAATGAAGTCCATGTTGATCACTTCCCATTTCCATGTAGGAATGTTGATCTCTTAAGTCATACCTCTTGGTTTCTGATGTTCTACCTTCACTTGCTGGCAATTAGGGCACTTAGCCAAAAAATGGGCTATATCCTTTTCATACCATTCCACCAAAAGAATTCTCATAGATCACGGTACATCTTAGTAGTGCCTGGATGAATAGAATATCTTGAATTACGGACTTCTGCAAGAATCTGCTATCTCAACTCACCCACCTTAGGAACACATAATCGACCCTGATAGCGAAGCATAGCATCCCACCCTTGGGAGAAAACCTTAACCCTCTGCTGATGGAGTGCACCGTTTAGTTGAAGAAATATCCGATCATTGTCTTGTCTTTCCTTAACCTCTTCTACCAAAGAAGATTTTGACCCATTCTGAATTGTTACACCACCATCTGATATGCTCATAAGGCAAACTCCTAAGTGAGCCAGCCTATGAACATATTTTTCTAGTTCATTTCTCTCTTCCTCAACATATGCTACACTACACATAGATAGTCTACTAAGAGAATCTGCTACTACATTGGCCATACCAGGATGGTATTGCACACTCATATCATAATCTTTGAGGAACTCAAGCCATCTCCTCCAGTGAAGATTCAACTCCTTTTGGGTGAACACATATTGAAGGCTCTTATGGTCTGTGAACACATCTACGTGAATAACATACAAGTAATGTCTCAAAATCTTAAGGGCAAATACCACTGTTGGAAGCTTGAGGTCATAAGTCAGATAATTCTTCTCATGCACCTTAAGCTGTCTAGATGCATAATTCTTCTCACAACGTAGGCCGACTTTGGATGCATCACAAAAGATCACACATCGTCTGAACCTTCTGGTAGAGTTAAAACTGGAGTTGTAGTCAACCTAGTTTCCAGTTCTACAAAACGTTTATGACAATCATCTGACCACTGAAACCTGACCTTTTTCTGAGTTAACTTAGTCAATGGAGTGGCTATATAAGAAAATCCTTCGACGAACCTTCTTTAACAACCCGTTAGGCCCAGAAAATTTCTTATATATGTAGGAGAGGTAGGTTTGAGCGATTGCTTCACTGCTTCTATTTTCTGAGAATCCACTCAGATCACTTCTGTAGACACAATATGACAAAGGAAAGCAACATATTTCAACCAAAAATCACATTTGCTAATCTTAGCGAATAA